CGTAGACGCCTCTTTAAACCGAAACCGCAATAAATAGCTTATTAAACAGTCATCTAGTGCCTTGTTGCAACTCTAGTACGACTCCGTTGCCACGTGGAACGCGAAGTCTCGCGCAATTTGGGCACAACGTCTTCGGGAGGGGGGGGGGGGGGACTTCAACTACAACGTACTTGTTGAGGATAAATCGGAAGTTTATGGGGCAAGCAGTGCCGAAACAGCTGTTTCATCAGATCCAAACATGGCAGAGGGTATGGCGCGGACTCAACACCACCTCGAGGATACAAGGTTCATCGCTTGGCAAGGCCATGTAAACCTGGACAAATCCACCAACTGGGTGAAGTAAACAAGAACAGGAATATTTTCTGTCAAGATCCAAGCAGACATCTATGACGCCACCACGGCAAGCAGCAGCAGCAACACATCTAGAGCCTTGACCACAACGGCACACCAACAGCAATTGAGATGGTCCCGGGGGCTCGTGCTAGAAAAACAGGCCACGTCACCGCCCTCACCACTTCTCGATGGAGTGTGTCCAGCGCCGCCCTTCGCCGCGCCAACTCGCCTTGCCCACTGCTCGATGGCAACATCATGAGCAACGCATCCGTAGCATCGCCAGTATCGGCAGAAACGACGCACACAAGGAAGACAAGTGAATGAACCACGCAACAACATCGACGGGATGGCTCCACAGCAAAATGCTTCCCGCAAACACAACCGTGCACCAACGAATAATGGGAGGATATGCTCATATTCGGAACAATCATAGCCGTCGTTTGACGCTTCCGTTGTGCTTTGCAGCAGTCTTTCGCCCATGCTTTGCAGCAGTCTTACGCCCTTGCCCAATTAGTCAAGCTGAAGAATAGAATTTCATTGTGTGAAACCGTACCGAGATTGTTGGGTCAAGTCACCAAAACCCTACCATACTCACACTGCGAAGTCAACCGGTCTTCTCTCCATGAGCGCCAACCGCTCACTAAGGGCCTCCACGGATTCGCCTAGCTTGCTCGCCTGTTTTATTGCGTGTAGAAAACAACATACGCGCGCGAACACACGTTATTTAATCCCGGGCCACGGCATTACGAAACGTATCACGAATGCAGCTGGAGCGAAGTCGTTCCATTGGTTTGCTGGATAGCGCGGTCGACGTGAAAAACAAAGACACACACGTCGAGCCAGACTGATGCATCTTCATGTACCAACAAGTTGGCGCGACACGCACACCTACACTCCATCACACCGCTAGCGCGGTCGATGCTAGCGGAAGAAGACACACAACCCGGGGCCGATTCCAAACGCTCGATAGCTGCTCGGCAGGCGTTCGTATCCCGGCCTTGGTTGACACGCGAAACAATGCTCTGGTCGCTACCTTTGCCTATCGGTTAAATAGTTGGCCTGTCAGCTTGTCGGTGTTATTCTTATTTAACATCAACCGCGCTAACCGGCCGACCGGTGGAAGGACGCCAGTCTTGCAGTGGGGCAAAAACTCGAGCGAAGACGCATGATAGCGAAAGAATTCTACCGACAGCGGGGGCGCAGGAGTTCGACGACAGCAGTGTAGAGTCGTCCCACTCTTAAGGACACACATGTTTTTTCGTTTCAACAGGTGTCCTTAAGTCGGGCAAGTGTCCTTAAGGTCGATACCCCTCCGTGCGTTGTAAAAGAAAAGTTGTGCTTAACCGCGGGAGCGTCCTTAAATGGTGTCCTTATCCGAGGGATGGCTGTTCTGCTTCCGGAGCACAAGCGTAAGACTGCCACTTGTCGCTCTCTCTGTCTGCCTCGGGTCAGGGACTTGTCCGCAGCTATCATACATCTTCTCCCGTCCGAGCAGCTGATAAAATTAACTCTTATATTTGAAGCTAAACAATCACATAGAGACTACAGTACAACCCGTTGGGGAAGTACGTACGCATAGCAGCGTCGAAGGGGATGTGTTGCACTCTTTGCGGTGAGCGGGAGAAAAAGCTGTCTCGTTTGTTGAGATATTTGGCGAAATAGATAGAGAGACGTGCTTCTGCTTGAACCCATTGATGTACATAGAAGCAGCAGCTCGGCAAGCTTGGTATACTGTACGTATCAACCCCGCAGCCGCATACTGAAACTTCAAAAGGAACTGAGCAGTCCCGCCAACTACTACTCTACCCCGCTGATGTTCGCTTAGGTCGGTACTTCAGTTTACTGTTACTTCATTTCCTCTCATCAGCGGTTTTCAAAGCAAGTAATGTACCAACACGGAAACGCGCGTAGGGCAACCCGTGTCGTATAAAGTCTGTTGTCCGCGGGGGAGCTATGATAGTATCTCTGCCTATCGCGCGAGCATTGAAAAACGCTACAGCAGTACTCGTAAACACTTGGGTAGACATTGGTACGCCGTGATGCGAGGCAGCTATGCAAGTACAACTGGGTGGAGGGATTGCGAGGTAACCAACGGCGGTATTTTATTATTCCTTAATAGACCACCGGGGGGGGAACACGCAAGACAAAAGCAAGCGATGTGAATCTCGATGTGACTTTCGCATACTTCAGCTTGTCAAGTTCCCAGTTTCCACTGCTGTAGGTCTCATTCAATCCTCACTGCGACACTGACACACCTCCTTCGAGGGTGGTTGCGGACAGTTCGGTCGATCCGTGATGTGACCAAAAAAAAAAAAAGAGTTCCTGGTTCCCGGTTTGAAAATCACAACATCAACATCAAGAACTCTTGCGTGTGTCAGAGATACCGTTTGTGACAAAGTGTCGTGCCGTCCTTGTTTACCATACTGCTGTGGGTGTGCCGCGCGACGTTTCTCAAGGTCGTGTTCATCAGGCTTCGGGGTCTGTGCATGCTCGCAGATTGGAGGGAGTCGACAATCAATCAATCAATCAATCACACAGCCGGCGTGGATGGAGACATTGACCAAGAGACAAACAAACGAACCTGCCATTCATCACCAGTTCCTGACAAGGAATCTAGCGTTTCTCGCGCCCTCACAAAGTCCACTTCCCATTGCTGCGCGGCAGAAGTCATGATTGAGGGCCAAGCGGGCGGCACCAGCGGCAGACTGAAGTACAGCAGCGAGAGAGAGGCCCATTTTTTTCTCTCTCTCAAATAAAATAACTCACAGTGTCCCCGGAGCGGAAAGTCGATCCAACACAATAGCAACTCCCGAAATACCCCACAAAAGTGGGTGTGTGGGAAACAAGAGTGAGTTAGCAACCACCACACAGAGCCACTCCGCCACACATTAGTTGAACCGAGGGTCATCGAGCCGCCGCCGTCATCCGTTTCGGGGCTATCGGGGAAGGGGACGCTGGAGCGCTCTCCCGAGTTTGTTTTTCCGAGAGGGCGAACCCCCGACAGAAAGCGGTGAGTTATAAAAAAACACACACGACACTCCACACACAGCTGCCGAAAAAACGCCCGTCAGGAGCTTTTACCCCACGCGCACACAGCAGCGACACGCGCTTCCGGCCTGCTCCCTAGCCCCCCCATGTGCAGCTGCTTGTCTCCACCACCGTGCTGTAGGTTGTCGCCCGCCGCTCCTTGTATGTGGTTTTTGTGTGTTTTCGATGGAAAGGGGGACGGTGGTGATGTGTACTCCGGATCACGTGGCTTTTCAAATCGCAGCAGCAAGTCGGAGGACTACAAATACCACATCGGAGAGGAGCTCGTTGTGGAGATTGACGCTGTGTGCCTCGCCTTCTAAGGGGCGCCTTCAAATCGACCACGCGACCACAGAGTTGTTCATAACTCCCAGTCTCGGGTGTACGCGCTCTCAGAAGAACGCGCCACGCCGCTGCGTATTTCGGGAACAAACCTTGGCCTGCTCGGGCCTAATAATCACAGCTTGGAATTCCGATACCTTCATCAATCCATCAATCCCTCCCTGCTGCTGCGCTCACTCACTCCCTTTCAGTAGTATGGAGGTTTTACAATCATGCTGTATCTCGCGTGCGCGGCTGCAGTAGCTGGTGCTGCTGCCGCCGCAGTTGTGCCACTGGAACAAGCACGCTGCCGCAAAAGCGTCTTGCTAGTGAGAGCTTGCGCGGTTGGTTTGCTCAACCCCCCCCCCGCGCTCTCTTTGTCACGGTTGTTGCCACCCGCCCGCCCACCGGCTGCACCGCGGCCGTCGCGTTGTTCGAGCCTGTCCTCCTAAAATCACCTGTAGCAGAACGCGAATTACGCGTGCAGAAGCTCTCTCTCTCTCACCAGTAATTGGGTACCCCCCCCCCCCCCCCGTGAACTCCCCCGCAGCCCCGGCGGGTTGATCCCGGCAGCTGATGCGACACGGTGATCAGTTCCGGCGATTTTTGCTTGACACCTCTCTCAAGAAGGGGCTGTGCGTCGCACTGTAGTGCAACATTCCGCTCGCGTTTCTCTTTTTATTTCCAGCATCACCCCGTCACCAGCCAAGTCTAGTTTTTAGTGTATGCACTGCCAGCATAAATCGGCAGAAATATGTAGCACGCACACATTTTTTACCTACACGAGTGTGGAAGCTGGCGTGATTGGTCAACCCCTACACAGCACACAACAATAGTAGTCTCCCTGCAGAACAAATGTTTATCGTCTTGCAATGCACGACGAGATCGGGCCTGGTTCAAGTCTGAGCCGAAAGATCTGTGCCACGTTTTATATTTTTTCATTTTGGGGAAAGAAAAGTCCGCGTCAGAGGACGTCGGCTTTACAGCAGCACTGCAAGGACTTGAACCACAACACGTGGCCCGTCTTTTTCGACTTGATCCATTGTTGTGCTCGGGTGCCACGATTGGTCTCCATCAATAACCTACGCATCTTGATGTCGAACTCTCTTTCTCCCTCCTCGTTGCCATCCCCCCGACCCCTTCCAGGCTTGATACCTAGGAAGGCCATAGATAGCAGGAGCGAACATGTCTGACTACGCGACCGAGCTTCTTAGGAGGCAACTGCAGGGTGAGTCATCCCCCTCCGTCCCTTGCTCACGTTCGCTTTCGTATCCCCCACGCCTGAACTGTACGCGTTGTGCCTTGAGTCTCACGGGCACGTAAATGACAAGGGACCCAGGGATCAAGTCCACCCGCGGGTGATCCTGACTTCCACCCTGAAATCAACTCCAGCGCTCTTCCGGACCTGTAGGATAGGTTCGCGTGAAACTCCACGCGGGGGATAGGATACCGTTTATATTTTTTTCCAAGATGCTCCGAGATCGGGCGGTGTTTGTTCCAACATGGTACTGCATCTGACGCGATTTTCGGCCACTGCTGTAGTTAGGCCAGGCGTTGGGCGTGTGGTATTCAACCAGAAAATAGTCGTTGGCGCGTTGGAGTCCTTGACGGCAACTTCTGGACCGAGGCTGAGAATGCCTTCTCGATGATACAGCAGTGTGAAGACCACAAGCTACAGCAACATGCATAGCACACACGAAGAAATGAGCTAATTAGTCTACAACGGGAACGGGGTGGCATGGTCGTGGTCAAAAGAGAAGACCATTTTTTTACCGACAGACACGGGGCGGGCACCAGCTAGGTAGGGCGTCCAGTGCAGAGCGTGAGCGGGCCGCAGTCTGCCCTCGTTGTACGGTGTTGGGGTGGCCCTCCGGCCTCCAAACTAGGAGAACCCACTCTGACCTTTGTCTCACGTGGGGCGTTTGTTGTCTGCCTGCATGGCCATGTAAGTGAGACCGCCGAGGGAAAACCCAAACACATTACCCGGCGTTTAGATACGTTCCTTAAAGTGTGACCCCTTAGGCTAGCGCTTCGGACATTTTCCGAACAGATTTTTTCCAAAAGGAGGAGGCGAACGCCCAGAGTATTGGACTTCACACACCACACACTGACCACCAAGCTGCCCAGAAAATGCCTATCCGAATGAAACGCATGCAACAGCCAACTTTACAGAAAACCCAATCTACTCCTCGAGTATGTTCACCCGGAATATTATCCGATTTCCCCTTCTCTCGACAAGTCGGTTCGTGCTGCCGGCAGGGCTCGTCACCCCATATATATGACCATGCCATCTGTGCTCGCGAACCCAACTTCACGGAGTGGGTGTTCCCTTCTAGCCCACCGCTGCTGCGGCTCTGTTGCAAACTCCGAGCTCCTTATCCCCCTACTCTCGCGCCACATTTGCCCGAACCGTCGGAAAACGCGCCGCCTTCAGAACTTAACAAGAACCCCCCCGAGGGAGTCTCGGTAGGTCTGGCCAATGACGACAATATGTTCATGTGGGAGCTGCTTATCGTGGGCCCAGCAGATACGGTGAGTGCTCGCCTACCTCGTCTCTTTTGGTGAACCAACTACCGTCAATCCTGTCATGTTGTATGTTGTAGCGTGTCCATTGATGTTATGTTGTCTTATGTGACCTGTCCGTGTAGTAGACAAAACCACCTAGTGCCCATCTATTTGTTAGACGTGCCGTCAAAACTTGGCATGTGGGTATTTTCGTATTTTCTGTCTTCTTCTGGCCTTGGCCTGTTTGTAGCTCTAATGTTGATCAAAGAGAAAGTCCGGCAGCCAGCAGTGATGCTGGTCAACAAGCAAGCTCGGCAGCCGACGATTCCAACATATATACGGTATTTGGTGCTGTGCCGACATATTTTCCTAGGGCCCATTCGTGTCTTGTGTTTTTGGTGCCATTGGCCTGTCTCAGATGTCAGTGAAGGAATAAGCCCCGAGAGAGGACCGGGTTTGTGCACTGTTCTGGGCCGTTGTCAACACAATGCCCAACGATTGCAATATTATTCTTGGGGTGTTAATCAGCCAGAGCGCGTTCCTATTCGGAGTAACCACGCCCCCGCCCCGCCAGCAGAGATGTGTGGGGTAGCTAGGGTTGGGGTGAAGGCCGTTTGGACATGATTTTTGACTCCTGCACACGGCGGTCGTTGGTGTATGTGGATGTCGATGCGATCGAGACGTTGCTGGCTGTTGCCGGAACCTCGGCTTGTTTCAAGTTACTTCGGCCTTTCTGTCGGCCTTGTTGGTTCGTGCGTTCATGCCCCCTCTTGCCTCTTTGTATGTGTGTGTCTTCTTTTTGATATTTCAGCTGTATGAGGGAGGGTTCTTCAAGGCCAAGCTCGAGTTCCCGAAAGACTTCCCGAACAACCCTCCGACCATGACCTTTATCAGCGAGATGTTCCATCCCAATGGTAAGAAGCGGTTGCTCTTTGGAGGCGGCGTCCATGATTGCGGCGTTGTTGTTGTCCTTGTCGTTGTTGTTTTCTCTACTAAATACTACAAATACACAACCCCGTTCTTACCGCTGATGAGTGGCTTGCCTTTTTGGTTGCCGCCGCTTTCCCGAACCATGTTTCGAAGCGGGCGTTGTCCTAGTAGACACGCAGACACGCAAAGGCTGCCTCTTATCACACGTTAGCAGGCGTGGAACGCACTCTGTCGTACGTCAGTCTCATCATTCACATCGCAGTGTCCGCCCGAGCGCTTACTGGGAAGACTTTTCTTTTTTGTCCGCCACGCACCCGCCGTTCTCAACGGTGTCGTCTTTTTTTTTCTTGTTTGCCTGCCTTTTTTGTGAACACTTGCCGCAGTGTACCCGGATGGGAGGGTGTGCATTTCGATCCTGCACCCACCGGGAGAGGACAAGTTCAACGAACAGGTACGGATGCACACGACACTCACACCGAAAGTCTTGAACGCGTCCGTGCTACACGTATCTCCGCCCGGACGTGCGTCTTTTGTGGCTTGTGCAAACGCGTGAAGAGATTTGAGCTCGCAAGCTTACCTAGAACTCCGTTTCTCTGGGTTTGTGTTGGGGTTGGGGTTTGTTGTAGGCGTTATGAACCGAGCTCACAATGGTTAACCGGCTTACAATTGATTGGTGCTGAAGTTCTTCTTTTTTTTTTTTTGCGCTCGATTTCTTGACTGCCATGTGTCGAAGTGCGGGCGTTTTCTGTATTCTTCTTGACTGAGTACCTGTGCTGATATCCAAGTTCTAGAATTTATTTATCTTTCATTGAGCCCCACGTTCTCAAGTGCGAGCGCTCACTGCTGTGCGGACGTTTATGTAACAGGAAACCGCGGAGGAACGCTGGCGCCCGATCCTGGGGGTAGAAGGGATCATCGTCTCCGTCGTCTCGATGCTCTCGGACCCAAACGACGAGTCCCCGGCCAACATCGATGCGGCAGTCATGTGGCGAAATGACCGCGAAGCCTTCAAAAAGAAGTCGCGCCTTTTGGTTCGCAAGTCGCAGGACGCGCTGTGATTGGTATGGTGGTCGAGGGTGCTTGGTGTGGATTTTGACGTTGGATTTGGTTTGTTTTGTTTGATTCTTTCTTTTTCTCGTCGTTTGCTTGTTCGTTTCTTTTTCTGTGGGTGCGTGTTTTTTCTTTGTTTGTTTTTTTTTGACAGGAGGAAAGGAGCGCATCTGGAAGAGGCGTATTCCTGCATCATTTTTTGACAACTTTTTCCTCATTTTTTTTTGTTGTTCCCGGCAAGCCAGCGAGCAACACGAGAAAAGGGAACAGTTGGGAGGAAGTTAGTGTGTGAGCTGATCGATCGATGGGAATTCGTTGCAGGGAGAAGGACGCACGACACAGGACGGATATTCCCATGGTATTCGTGCCAATTTTGCATTGCCACGAAGGTGGGTCAAATGCAATGGAAATGGAATGCAATTCCACTCCCCCACCACCAGCACCTCTTTCTTGCGAAGATACGGTTATGTAGGAAGGCGAGGGCGATGCGCCTGGACGGGGGGGTGGGGGGGGGGCGACGTTGCTTCGAAGGTTCGGGAGTTGCATGGATTCCTGCAGAGAGCCACCTGCATGAGCGACGGAGCTCGGACGATTTTGCGGCAAGGAAGCGCGGACGGGGCGAGGTGCTCGATATTGTTCGCGTCACCCCCACAACGCCGAGAGTGTCAGCCGTCGCGGGGTTGTGCCTCTTGCTGGTCGCTCCGTGCTGGCTTCGCATCGGTTTGAGCACGAGCTTGAATGGTTTCGTACCGGTGCACGCGGAGGTGTAGGCGTTTTCCTCGATGAAGGGATTGGGGCACGGAACGGCGATAAATGTGTCTCATAAACGAAGACCCGCCTGGAAGATCCTTACTCAAGTGGTAGGAGGCGGTACGGTGGAAACCTTGTTAGAGCCCACGGCGTGTTGTAGCCGCTATAGGCCCCTTGGTGGGTTGACACGTGGAACGGGGTCTAACTGTCTTTGCTCGCCGCTACCCGCGTGTGTCGTCTCGCGGGTGAAAACATTTTTTGGCGAATCCTAAGCTATGATAAAAGTCGCCACACGAAAACAATCCCCCCGCCGCTGTAGTTGTTGGGATGGATGACGAGCTTTTCTACCTCATGGGATGGGTGACGATTCTTTCTAGCGTCATCCATTGCCAAGGAACGTGAAATCAATGAAGTCATCGCGCGGTTGCGCGACATGAAGGATATTTGAATACCGCAACATCACATTTTTTTAAGGTGGGGGTTGAGACCCGGGTTGGAGGTCGTTGATGGCGTGGGACCAAATAAATGGTAGGCCTACCCGCGGGGCTGGGCGTTCGAGACACTGCTACATCGCCCCGTGACATGGTGAGTCGATTGGTTGGGGGACGCCAGTTGGATCTCCACGTTTCCCCGCCCCCTCCCGCACGAAGTCTGCCGTTGCGCGGGCAATGCTCTGGTGGTGGTTTCACTCGCGGGTTTCCGCATTTTTTGTGCTCCCCGTGGGCCGGACACGAAGAATGAGCAAAACGCGTGCCCATGATGTGTCCATCATCTTTCTCGCGGCCGTCTTGTCGACGCGCTCGGGCAAGCGAAGTACCTACGGGTGTGTCCAGAACATTCGTAGACATTGAAATGCCCCCTGAGTGACTCCGCTGCACGGTATGCATCGCTCCTGCGGAGACGGCAAGGCCGTGGGTGAAACATCGACGGAAACTACGCGGAAACGAAGGCTGACGTGCATGAACAGACGGGCAAGCACAATCTCACCGATGGGTCACCATCATGTGATAAAATCCCCAAATCTACGAGGGGATTTTGGCCTTCTTCGTTGCGATATGAACGCCAACCCTTATCTGCCGGTATCTTCGTTTTCCCCTGTTCACATGATGATCTATCTGGTACTGTACCTAACCCTATGTACCACCACACACACCAACTACGGCCTGCGGGGATACAAAACATACGACTGACTACCCGGCGAACTCAAGAATGAGTGAGGGGTAGTTCGTGAGAGGTGGAACTAGGGAAAAATTCGGAAGGAGGGGCACCGGACGCGTGGAGGCTGTCTCCACTCCGTTGGTTGGCAGCGTTTTTATCTGCTCTTGACGCCACGCCGCGTTGCCGTCGTCACTCCGTCGCCACTTGGAGATGAATCATTGGTAGTTTTGCCCGAATACACAATAATAGAAGACTGGGGTCACGGAGCTTTAACAGGTGGTTGTCGAAAGACGCTCAGCGAGTGAGTTACTACTTCGATGCCTTTTCTCTTCATTGCTTTGTTTCATGACGCGCCCTGCGGAGAAGATACTCACGTGAACGGCGGGACTATTTGAACTGTATCACGGCCCGCGGCCCTGATCAAGGAAAACGAGTGTTAAAAACTAACCGCTGATCTGATTATGTATCGACTACAGTACAAAAGTCTAGAATGAATGTGTATACACACTTCAAGCGCACGACGCGGCGCCGGAAATCGCTCCTATTTCCGACTCTTTTCCTCATCGTTTTTGCCTTGTTTCGGTGCGGCCAGACATCTATTCCTGGGTGTGCTATAAAAGTACCCCGGCTTCACCTGGACATGCACAAACATACTTCAAGAGAGAACGGTTGCACACGTAGAGAGGAAGACAGAGAACAAGCAAGGTGGCTCACCCCAGTGTTTAGCGGACCGAGTGCTGCCGGTTGGAGATTGAAAATTCCCGCAAGATGGAAGTTGGCATGTGTACAACGCGGCGGAATGGCACCTGGCACCTGGCTCCTCTAGCACAACCGCAACACCACGGCAACAGCGAGAAGAACGGTCGAGGTCGTGAAGGCGTCGCTGCCTGCCTCGCCCATGCTGTCCCTGCTGGTTTCTCTGGTGCTGTTGGCAGAGGCCTCTGGCTTCGTCCCTTCCGTCTCCGCTGGAGGTGCGAGGCGGAGCTCGGCCTGTGGTCCGCCTGTGTCCCGTGATGATGGTTGTCGACCGGTTGCCGCCACGGCGACGTCGCTGGGCAAAGATTGTGATGCCGGCATCCCTGCTGTCGTTGTCTCTTTCGGTCTGACGCCTCCGGAGAGGCTGGCGGCGGAGCAAGCTGTGAGAGCAGGTGCCATGTTCCCGGCCGGGTTGCATGTGGTCGACGGTGCAGCGGCTGCTGCAACTGTGGATGGCAGCACGCTGAGGGAGGTATACAGCAGTAGTTTGCAACATGCGTGTGATTTGAACAGTGAACCGCGCAGGGCAGTTTGCGGATGCCTCGCGCCGGGATGATGAGATAGCCGTTAGTGTCATTTCTGGCGTACTCTCTGTCTGTCTCTGTCTGTCTGTCTGTCTGTCTGTCTCTGAGGCGCTTGGGCTTCATGTGGACGGCACGGTCGCGAAGTCCCTGTGACCTATCTATGCACTCTGACAGCAGTCATCATGTGCGCTACATGCACCTTCACGTGGTTGACCCACAACACCTGTCGTGTCGAGGGAATTCTCTCTCACTTGCACAGCTCGCATTCAACGGCCAGACCCAATCTATTCGTCGTTGCGCAGCTGTGTAGGTAAATAGATGGTGTGTCTTTCCACAGCGGTGATTGGTATCTGTTGTAGCTCATAAGTGTTGTCGGAGGATTGTGCTCATCTCCATGTCGATAGACAATCGATGCACAACATACGGTCCAGCAAGCAAAGCGCTCTATTGTGCGTGTTCTCTCAAGTGATGTTCCGTTTGTTTCATCGTCTCAACGACAGGCGATTCTGAGAAGCTCGGGGCTGTCCGGCGAGCATCCCCTCCCGCAGGCGCTGGTCGACGCCATGACGGACACCCACACCACTACACCCACCAACACCACCAACAAGAAACCCAGCTCCGGTGCTGATGTCCCTGGTGATTTCATGCCCAACCTGTGGTTGGTGCTACAGTCACCGACCAACCTACCTCCCGCTGAGGGGGAAGGACTCCCTGACTGGCTTGCCTTGTCGATGATGGAGGCGCTTGACGCTTGCGAGTCGGTCCCGCCGGCGATCGTCTCCTGCGTTCCTCCTCCTCCTCCATCGCCAGCACCAGCCTCATCACCATCGTCGTCTTCGCCGCCGCCGGTGTTATCCTTCGACGCTGCGCTGCTGGACATGCCTCTGGCTGACTTGTGGAGGCGAGAGGCCAGGCGCCACTTCGCGTGAGGGTTGTTGCTATGGGCGCGTTACGTGCGGACAAGCGATTTCGTCGCGGGGGAAAGGGGTTCCATATGTCAGCCTTGGTTTCTTCGCGTACTCTCCTTTCGCTATTATCGCGCATGTTTGCCTTTCGGGCGCAAAGTCGTGCTGGTTACACGCAAAGAGCGGAATGCCAATTTTCGAGAGGGAACAAAATTTATCGTTGTTGTGCGCGCAATTGAAAAATCAGCTGTTGCCGGTCTTGCATGTCACGACGCCAGCTTTTCGGAGGGACAACAGAAAAAGAGCAGCGCGTTTCGCCACGGTTGCTTTCGATCATTCCTCTGCCGAGCTATCTAACAACAACTTATCCACGCACGCAGATACACACACATACACACACACACACACACACACACACAGGGGAGAAGCGGTGTGACACCGCTAAGAAAACTGACGAAACCTTCTTTTTCGTTCCACGCGCGCAGCGAGAACGGCCTATCCGAGCCGCTGAAAGTGCACGGGACCGAGTGGTCCCCCTCGAGCCGGGGTGTGAACGTGGCGATGAATCTTGAGTTGGACGGGTCGTGGGTGCCCTCGTCGAATGACCCGGGGGGGGAACGGTGGGACACAAGCAAGGTGAGCCACCACACTCTACTGTTGAGACGTATTATTTGTTGTAGACGTGACGAAGATGACAGTATAAGAGTGATGTCAGCGGCTGCTCCGGGACAAGGATTGGGGGCACCGCCAGGGGTGGGTGGGTACCATCGCCGCTGTAGCTGCTGCGACGCCAAGGCCAGAAGGACGTGTCGCGGGCCCCCAAGTAAGGGATCTCTGTTTTCTTGGTGTACGGGCTCTAGCTGGTAGACATGTAGTGGGGGGGCGCCAATATCGCCGGTTGATGTAGCGCCGGCGGGCCTGTATACTGTAGCGCCTAGGAAACTGCTGGTAACACACTGAGCCGCCAAGTCATTCTGTAGATTGAATAGCGCCGGTCGATGCGCCGGGCACTTACCGGCGTTATTGCGGGCACTTCACTACTGTATGCCTATAAAATATTCAAACCGAAGGACCAGTGCGAAGCACAAGTTGTCGTCCAAGACTGCCGGCTTGAAACGATTTGCGGGATTGTTGAATGAGCCATGTACGCACAAAGGCTGTGGCGGGACAACATGCTTTCGTGCCGTCGGAAACCAGGCCGCTCCCAGGAAAGGCATACGCGGATCACCGCGGATCATGCAAGCCTAGCTGATGCCCTACTCTACCCTAGGGGAGGGATGAGAATCCCGGTTACAGAGACGCCGTTTCGTTCACCCTGAGGTATTTCTTACACCATGCACCACGATTCGATCACAGCAGAATCTTAAGTACGGTGTAGAAGCAGGTGCTTGCGTTTCAGTGTGTTCCATTCTTTCAGCCGTTCATCCACACGTTTTTTTTTTCTTACCTTCAAGGATTTCGTGTGGCGCCCCGCCTTGTGAGGGATGCGTGATCAATCCGGCAAATGACCTAGGCAAGCAACAGCTAGTACCTCGGCGACCCCCCCCCTCCTGCTTTGCTTTTCCATGTTTCAGCTGGTGGTGTTAGACGGTCTTGTGGATGAGGACCTCTGCAGAGAGTTGCTTGATCTAGTCACAGAGCCTGGATGGGCCACGAAACCACCACCTGTGCCAGCGACACCGGGAACGACGGCGGCAGCACTATCGCTCGATCAGCCGACATCCGGCAACGAGGGAACGCCGGTACGAGAACGGCCACCGCCGTCGAAGTGGGAGCGGGGTCTGACCGATGTGGACGAGGAGGAGGAGGAGGAAGAGGGGGGAGGGAGAGGGGCGGGGCCAGGCAGCTGGGGCTTGACGGAGGAGGCCATGGAATGGTTGTGCCGAGACGGGAAGCACCCGGCGATTGTAGAGGTATGTGCCTAGATTTTTGAGCGTGCTGTCACTGCTTCTGCTACCGTAGTTGCCGGCTATTGCTGACGTGGGGTTGGCGACGTTCGGGGATAAGTTTTTGCCTGCGACCGCCACACAATCCTGATCCCGGCCGTAGCACTTCGTTGCAAGCTCGGACACTTGCACGCCGGCAGTGAAACGACAAAACGATTTCGCCAAGTGTGTTTTTCACACCTGCTTCGCGCCCCCTCCCGCCGCCCAGCTCCAATCCAGGCTGTGCAAGCTCTACCCAGACTTCGAGATATCGCACATGCCCGAGGCGGTCATGGGTCCCAGCACCGCACGTATGGTGGCCAACGCCCCCGTTTACGGCGACCGTTTTTCGTGGCACGTCGACGCCGACCCGGCGGCCTTTCCGCCGTCGCCCTGGCGGGATCACTTCGGGACCTACACCAACAGGCGGGTGCTTTGATCTGTTTTCGTGTCGACTTGGCTGTGATTATGTGCGGGCCGGTCTCTACTGTTGGCCCCTGGCTCTGTCTGTCTGTCTGTCTGTCTGTCTGTCTGTTCGTCTTGTCTATCTGTCTTCATTTTGTTTTCTTTTTCTCCCTGTTCGTCGCTCTCTTCTCTGCATGCCCCTTTGTTTTTCTCTTGGTGTGGTGGAGTAGCTGGGCTGCTTGTGCAAGTTCTTGATTGATCGTCCCAACCATTCAACGTGTCACATCAAGTTGCACAACAGCAGAGCGGGTAAGGTTTGTGGGGAATGGCGTCACTCCGACAAGGATGGATCGCGCTGTTCATGGAAATAATGCATGTAATCGTCGCCACACAAGCACTGGCAGTGTCACTTCGCCATCTTCGTGAAACACGCAGAAAGCGCTAAAACGTAGCCTATAGCAATGCAGTTTATGAAAAACGAAATCGGTGGTCGCTGGATATGAAAAACGAAATCAATGTTCGCAGGGAGCCGGGGATGCCTCTCTTCGCGACGCTGCTGATTTACCTCGACGCGGACTGGCGGAGGGAGTGGGACGCGGAGACGCTCTTCCTCGACCCCCCTACCGGCACCGGGGTGTTCGTTAGGCCGAGGGCGGGGCGGGTCATCGTGATGGACCAGGACGTCACGCACCGGATTTCCACTCCGTCCCAGGTGTGAAAGGAGCTACGGAAGTGTCGCCCCTGCTTCCACGAGAACCTCTTTCTTTGCCCGAGGCTCGGTTCTTATTTCCTCCGCGGGGTAACCCAACGGCTACAACATAGGTTTTGGTGTGGCCCTCTTACACTGAGCGCCTCTTTTTGTTATCGATCTTGTTGGAGTCTACAACTCTAAACTCGAAGACCATTAGCGATCGTTCGACGGGGATCATTTTCACGTGTTGCATGGCACACACATGTATGTGCCCCTATATTCCTGTCCCCTCTTGTGGTTTTGGTGTGCGTCTGTATCAAGGTACCGTTCGTTGCATGAGGTTCCACACCCCGTGGGCCCGTTATCACTGCTTGTTTACTCTGAAGCACAAGCACTGACGGTGCCGGAAATGTCAGCGTTGGAACTGTCGTGTCGAGGGCTTTCCGAAAGCGCATCATTTTGGCTGTGTGTTCTCTCTTCGTCGTGGAGTATTCGAGCTCTGAAAATAAGTCCAAATGCGGTGTGTGTAGCATCTTATACAAGCTATGTTAATCGGAGAGTTTGTACCCTGTAGGTTTTCGTTTTCACTGGTTGGTTCGAGATGGACGGGGGCGGCGGTAGAATCCACTCGTACGTACTGTAGATCGCTTTTTTGTTTTCGTTGCCATAGTTCTCTCACTTCACATCTTTGCGGGCCGTACTTGTTGCTGTGTTTCTACCGCCCCGTGCGATTCTAACCCTGTCCCGCAGATTCCGCACGCTGTCCCCGGACGCAAACATGCTTAGTTCACCCCCCCCTCCTCCCCTACTTCTTGCTATCACTATATGCCTTCCCTACCCGTGACAGATGGCCAAGCGACCACGGTACAGCCTAGTCCTGAAGCTCATCTTCTTCTCGAAGCAGCACGGGCGCTACGACAACCGCTCATCTTCTTCACCGTTTCCCGGAACAACACAAACCACTTCCGGTACCACCCCCGGTTCGGCGGCGGCACCTCACGGAGCCCCCGGTGTTTCCCACGCGCCGGCAGAGCCGTGCATTTCCTCCCTCTCGGCCCTTCGACCCATGAAAGAAAACTCGCAGAGGGGTGGGCGTGTGAGGTTTGGATCCTCTTCTGAATCATCGTCTGAGCGAGCGCGTCCCTCGGGGAGGTCATCGTCTCCCGACAGCACCCCCCCCGCCGCGGTGCCGGTGCCACCGCCGCCTTTCCAGGATGATGCTACTGGTGCTGCCGGTGGTCTCGAACCTTTGGATGCGGAATCACCGTTGGTGGAAGTGAGGCCTGTCGGGGCCAAGGGGAAGGGGCTGTTCTCCACAAGGCGAGCTTGACTCGATTTTTTGGTGGGGCATGGGAGATGGGGGGTCGGGGGGTGGGGGGTGGAGAGAGAAGTATTGACCGAGTGTGTGGTAGGGGACGTAGCAGGGGCGGACTGACTGGATAGAGGAATCCTCGTGTCGTTTCGGAAAACTACCAAGAAGCAGGGGACCCTCGAATCGGAGCCCCATCCTGGTCGTGCCTATTCTTTGCTGTACTCGATTCCGTGGTGTGTAACCCGTCATACACCATGCACCCCGCTTGGTTGCAACCGGCATGGACATGCTGTGTCACGAAAGGGTCGCAGTTTCTTCTCTCTTGGGGGAGAGTGGCTATCTCGACGTTTTCCGGCGAACTCGATGGGCCATTTGTTTGGATGTTGTGCGTTTCGGAACTGTCTCTCGACTACCTGGCAGCTTGGAACACCTTCCCACGGGTAGATGAGAGCAACAAGACACCCCGTAACCCACTAGGATTTTTTCTATCGCGTCAAGAAGAAAACAAATAGACGACCCCGGCCATCGTCGCAACGCTGTCTTCTTGCTCTTTTCTCGCGGGTGCCTCGCGGGTGCCTTGTGATTTCTACAATGTTTTAAGGCCAATCGCCAAAGGCGTACCTGTTGCGTTTTACTCGGGGGAGGTGCTGACGGCCGAGCAGCTGGACGACCGATATCCCGGCTTCGAAGGCTCGGACTACGTCATGCAGCTGGGTCCGGACCGATATCTGGACGCACGGGACCCGGAAAAGTCGAGCATCGCCAGGTGGGATTCAAGGCCTGGAGTCGTGAGTGGTGGTGGTCGGCTGGGTTGGGGATGTTCGTCCGGATTTGATGGGCGGTGGTGGTATTGGTGTGGTTTTTGTGGTAGTGACCGTGATTGTGGTTGTAGGTGGAATAGGGGTTGCTGGATGACTAACTTTGTGTTAATCCCCATGTCTTCCCACGATCCGGTGGGTCTTACGGTGGAGTTTTGGGCAGAGGAAGACTGAGGGTTTACTGCTACCGGAAAGCTGGGAAGAAATTCGGTCCCCTAAAATGAAGTGAATTTCGGGATATTTTTTCATAAATATATGTATGTAGAGGGAGAGACCGAAAGACCAGTGCCGTCGAACGTTGCTTGTTGGACAGAGCGACCTCCCTCTGCAGTCATTTGCCCCAACCCCACATTTCTATGAGGGGTGCCCGCCTCGCAATAGTCGGAGGGAAGCTTCAGGTTCGAGTTTCTGTGTCAGGGTTGGACGGTGGAACACTAGCAGCGACAGAGATTTGCCATACGGATCCGAACTAGTGACCAAAAAGTTTCGAGGAAGCGTTGCGTGCTCCGGGGCAAACACCCGCCTCCTTCTCACGTCTCATCCATCCAGCCTGTCTGCTGTCAACCCGCATTCCCTGACCCATACTTTGCCCACCACGACACGGTCCAAGCAGGTACGCCAACCACAGCGGACGGCCTAACCTTGTTGTCGAGATTCGACCTGTCGACGGCAACGGCGCCGCGGCCGTCGCTGCTACCGCGAGCAGCGGTTTTCCCAACGGGGAAGGGGTGGCGCTTACGACTCTTCGAGACGTGGTTGGAGGAGAGGAGCTGACTTTCGACTACGGCGAAGAGTGAGTGACACATGCCCGCAGTTGTAGTATTGTGCGTTTAACTCTGCTCGTGTCGGAGGCACCCGGAATTCGACCCCGTGCTTTCCAAAGATTACATCGTCAGGGAGAAGGTTTGTTGGTCACACCTGCGGCCCACGGGTGCTTGTGTGGGAGATGTTCTGCAGGGTGAAAGCCTTTTGTTTGAAAGAGCCAATGGAGGACACCGCACCAGACGAGGGCTGCGGAGGTCCAACAAGAAGTGAAATACGCGCTTGGTCGAAGCGCGGTATCTTACTGCCGTTCGGGAGGTGGCTCTCAAGGCTCCGTCCCTCATCGCCGTTGCTACTCGGTCAAACTCCGGGCTTCTCCCCACACAACAACGCGCGGAGGTATCGGCCCCATCGAGCCAGCCGAACAGCCCGGAGCGCTTCGCCCCGCCCCGCGCGTTGTGTGTGTAGTGCTTCATGTCGCCGTTCTTTCAGGCGCAAGGACTTGTATATCATCCGGTGTGCGCCTTCGGCGAATTGTCCATGTCGCTCGCCTCCACACGCACGTGGCAGACACCCTAAAACTGCAACTACCCCGCACGACCGACTGCAACCATGCCAAGGGATTGCGCGGCAGTGCCCCCAATCTCAACGTTGTCCTCCCCACGCGTTGCCCTGTTGTGGGCGCAGCCAATTGCCTCCGTGGACCGCCGGATGCTATAAAACGCTGTTTTCGTGAGAGGCCGCTATCGGGCGGTTTTGATCTCGATCCTACAGTAGTATTTTTTTATTTGTCCTGACCGAAACAAATCGCTTCAAATAGGGCATCCCCAACACTGAAGTAGGTTTGAAAAATTCATAACGAAATAAACATACCGAACTCATCATGTCCATGTATCCTGCCCGAAAAAAAAAAAAACATGTTCTGCGCAACACCAAACACCAAAGATAGAGTCATTGCGGTGGAGCGCGTACCTGCTGTGTGTCATCATTCAGACAAAGAGCATTTCTGGCAGGATCATGGCCGTTCCGGTTCAGGTACTGTTGCAGCTATCGGCATCGTTTTTTTTCCCCCTCTTGAGGCCTTGAACCCCGCGGCAGTGTGGGGTGAAGACGTGCCCGAAAGTCCGAAAATCGATGTTCATGCTGTGCATGGGCCGAACTCATGTTGTCCAGGCATCAGCACGTTATTTGTGTTCGGCCCTGCCACGAGTGGTCTCTGGTTTTGAGTGCCCACTTTTGTCCGAGAAAGGGGTGGGTATACCCACTTTGTCTGTTTCCCTTTTCTCGTCGTCGGCATCAGCCGCTCTATCTCTCCCCGCCATTCTCGTTTGTGTGTTCGATGTATTGTAGTGCTCTGGCTGCCAACCGTTTTTTTTTTTTTTTTGTCTTCACTTCAAATCAGCGCTCACAGCACTAGTACCGTTTACTCCAACCCGTGGTCACACAGAAGGGCCCCTCTCTACCCTCCCCTCCTGCGGTACGTTGCCTTCGGTTTTTAACGAATGACGAGCCATGAATTGAGGTTGTCCGCCACCGGTGCCCTACCGTCACAATCAACGAAAATTTCACTTTGAAAATGTGAGGGTACGCGTATGGTTCCGCTGCTCATTTCGGTGGTTCCCGGCCCTTCCGCACCACACAGCAGTTAGTTAATTACGTCCGCCATGTGTGTGTTACACATGGCATTCTACCTGTTGTGAACCCGGGCGTTGTGGCGATAGTGTGTCCGCCGGGCATTCAGCGAACAGGACACATGGATCCATGATGCCTCGTCAAAACCACAGCACAACTGCTGTCATTGGGGGCACGGAGGACAATGAAATCAAAACGCCGCTTGATGGGACTATCGAAGGGTCACATGCGTGCAAGCAAATTCATGGGCAGCGCGAAGATGTACCAGGTACCTCATCTCTTATTAGTTTTAACGGCGGTTCCAAGGCAACAACCGTCGCATCTCCGTCCCCTGTCGAGTAGACATGGAACCACGGTACACAAGCACGCCATTTCGCTACCTTAAATATCTATTTGGGAGGGTGCGCTTGCAAAACGCGGCTCCGAGGCCGACACACACCGTAGTTCTTCATTGGCTTCAGATTGAAGCGCGGATAGCGTGGGAGGACGTCGTGCCCAGGGCGATTGGTTAGTAGACGTTCAAGCATAACCAAACGTTGGCAATGACGGAGTGCATGACCAGGCGCTCAGCCACACCTCCAAACGTGTAGCCGATATCGCAAAATGACCCTACAGAGGGACGTCCATTACCCGGTTGCATGCCGCACTCAAAACAGCGTTCTACTGACAGTCGTCTACTATAGTATTCCGTTGATTTTTCATGAGCTGATGATAATGCGCTGGAAATGTTTCACTGCTACGTACAACACAACCAATCATCGTGTACAAAAGACATGCGTCGCAAAGAGTTCGGAATTCCTCTGTGAGACCCCAGATTGGAACGCTTGAGAGGAGAGACGAGATCGCATGGTAGGTGGAAACTGCTACCAGCGCCGCTTTTTGACGGGATGACTTCGGATGGCGACCAAAAAACGCAACAAATATTTGAAGGGTTCATGCGGCCATTCAGTGCCGTTTATCGCCGTATGCCCATCCATAATGGTTTTGCTATTTCGGGCGACCGTCGTGTTTTGAACGGGAACAGGGCACCACGGAAGCGTGCGTATATTCGTCAAGGTCACTGGTCACAACGGTGATTTTCTAGGGTATACGGTGCGGTATTTTTTCACAAGGACCAGCCACGCGGGTAAAACACGTCATTGTTAGTTGATCTTTGGGTTGTAGCATATGGTGTTACTACCGTATACAATGACACAAGAATACACACCCCGGTGATAACATTTTGGAGTTTGAAAATATTATCACCGGGTGTGGTATCCTGTGGGGGGGGTGTTATCTTGTGTACCCCGGGTGATAAGGTGCAGCTCGCAGGGGCCCCTAAGGGTGTGTGATAAAACAGGGTGTGTGAGAGCGCGTTCGAACACCTACAGCGTGTGTTTGGGGGTGTGATAAAAGGGGGTGTGATAGCACGTCCGAACAGCCACAGCGTGTGCTTTGGGGTGTGATAAATGAGGGGGTGCGATAAAACGGGGTGTGATAGCCATGCCTGCACGTACACGTGCAGTGTAGGGACCTACCTAAAGTGGCGTGGAAAAACAAAGGGGCTCAACCGAGGTGACGAAACTCCTGAGCACATGACCTCGGCGATAACTCAACCCTCTCATCGCCAAAAAAAGTTTGAAACAAAATACGGGCTTGAATCGAGCAAGAAAAAAATTAAAAATCGAAGGTACATCGACCGATACGATGATTGGCGGTGGCCACAGACTGCGTGCGCCATCCTTCCTGCCCCCCTCACAAAAACGTTTACTTGGTACTTGCGGCTGCATTCTGCTCTGCCTGCACGTTCATGTTGTTGGGGGTCTCCATGCGGGGTGTTTCCCCGCACACAGCTGACGTGGTTGTGTGTGTGATTGCCCAGGGCAGATGCTGTCACCCCGGTGAAAAAGAAGGAGGGGCCCCGTGACTATATGCGGCGTAACTAAAAATATCACCGGGGTGTGATATCTTATTTCCCCCCGGTGATAAAAAAATTGAAATGGGACGAGCACCTCGGAACCGCGCCCAGCATAGGCACACGCGACCCCGACTGCGGCTACACAGTGAATCCCCCCGACAGGCAATCACATTGGACACAACGCCGCCGCTCCGATTTCCATGTCCACTGACACCCCCAAAAGCAAGGGTGGGTGGGTGGGAAAAAGAAACGTCACGGCAGAAACAACCCTTGGCCACCACAAGCACACACACGTGCTCTCGCTCGCCCCCGGTAAACACGGCGACGCGAGTATATACTGAAAACAGGAATCAACACGCTCGTCCGCTTCCTGCTTTCTGATTGGCCAACGGTTTATTTCTGCCGCTTCTCACAAAACGCAGATTTCCCTTACTTCGTCAGTCAATCTTTCGCTTGTCAGAAGCGCCCAAAACTATCACCGGGGCGTCGTATTCTGTGGGGGGTGTGCTTTCTTATGTAGGTGTGTTATCTTGCGCCATATACGGTATGCTATTATTCATGTTGTGGCTGCCAATACACTGCACCCGTAGACATCGAAACAATACAACACGAACTCTCTCGGACGCGTAAAGTGGAATGGTACTGTACTACAGTACCAAGCGAGACGGATCAGAGTTTTGCCCGGCAGTACCGGCCAGTACTTGATCAACAACCAAACGCCGTGCGTGAGACATGCAACCACTCTTCATATGCATAGCCAGAATCACACGTTCAGCGAAACAAAAAACCACAATACTGATGATTACACCTCTCTCAATGGATGCTTGCCACCACGAGCCTTCGTGAATCGTGAACGACGAGAGATATAGATAGGCATACCACTCGTACCCCATCTGCTTACAGCAGCACACCGGTAGGGTTCCCTAACATTCCTACAAGGGAATACCGTGTGTTTTTGTTTTCTTAATAATATGACACAACGAATCCATCTCTATCATAGAAAAGAGCCAGAGACAGATTAGCAACGAGATTAGCAACGAATTCATAGGGTCAGAAAAAGCTACCTGTATGTCTACGATTTCCCAGACAGCATATAGGGTCATCTCCCCTGCATTGGTTTCCGGCAAACGCCGTACCACCCCCTCGGAATCCAGGGCATTTTTCGGTGACGACTGTAGGAATGTTAATGTTTGTCCGGTGACCAGCCACCGGGGTATTTCGGTATTTTTCGGGTATTTTTGGGTGATGCAAAATATTTCTTCTGCGTGTGGCACCACGCAACAAACAATAAGGAAACGCGAGTGCTGTTCATTGCTGACACGGTTTTGACATTTCAGGCGTTATACATCGATCATCACATGGATGTATATCTAATTGCAGAGTCACTCGAAGCCTAAGAACATTCTGTCACGTATTACAGGCGACTACTCGCAGGAAAGAGCCAAAATATGACGACGAACGATCCAGATCCTACGCCCAGAAATGCGCACCAACGAATCTTTCACTTCGAAACCACAGCACACGGCAGCTACCTTCGGGATGGAAAACGAAATTGACGTAAGTTCCAACTGTATATCTTTCACCAAGCCAAGACAAGTTTGATTTGCCCATCTCCCTACACCCGGCAAACCAATCACTGCTTTTCAACCAATACAAATGGTAAAGTAGTAGAATACGCATGTGCATACCACTCTTAACTCTTATTCAGAGCGAGCCCCTGTGAACAACAGGTTCCAGTACATGTAGTGCCGAGAACATTCACCGGCACTATTCAAAGCACTGACAATGACAATGACAATGACAATGACTTGGAAATTCAGTGGTGTGCTAGCCGAAAACACCCGCACTATACCGGGTATTGGCGCTATTCAACCGGCACTAAACAAGGACCCCCTCTGTAAAAAGAGCATGGTCAAATGCTGACTCCAGATTCAACACAGCAGCTGTAGAATAAGGAGCTTCTTGTAAATTCATTCTGTGATATTAGCACCGGCGGGCCCTGTTGTAGATGTTTTGCGTTCGCACCAGCTAGCATAATTCACTAAATTCCGGCTAAATTCACATATTCATAGGCTTACATTGACTCAGAAGAACCCCAAAGATTTCCAACACCCCCCCTTCGACCATGATATCATCTCGAAACTGGCCTTCCCTCTGTGATTGAATGTATATTTCAATCAAAACCACACTCACACACATTGATATCAAGCAAACCCGTAATGATCGGGCGGGGATTGAACCTACGATAAGTTGCCCCAGCACAATGTGGCTAACTCCCTGGGCGACGGCGGTGGTACTATGCATTACTCCACGGGAGATGTAAATGAAGATTCACACGGCAGTTGGTCGATTGAGTGGCGACGAACATTGTGGGTGGTAGCTGTTTCCATCGGCACGGTAGGAAATAGATACTTTACCCTTGTAATGATTTTGATGGGAATACGTAGCTAGGCGAGCGTCATTTGGCTAGGAATGGAAGTTCATGCTACCGTTAGCGCCCGCACTTGAGGGCGCACTGGGGTACGCAGTTCCTCCGCTTGAACAATCCTTGGGAAACAAACACCTGCATATCTGAATTCTCCAAAGTCTAACTCCAGTCCGAAACTTCAACCGCAAATTTGCGTTGTACTTGGCATAGTTCACGAATGCTCCTGTTCTTCGGTAATGAGTTTTTGTTTTCGAGGCTGAAATAATTTCTTAACCGCCGAGTTCTTTAGTGCGGGCGCTTACCGAATAATAGACGGAACGCCACCGGTTACGATTTTCCAATTCATACATGGATGACCAAAGGCATCATTGTCGTGTCCTTCAGGTGAGGATCGAATGTGTGTGTTTTTTTTTCATGAGGTTTGGTCGGTAATTCTGTGCCGAAGCCACCAAGTGCCGCCGACGGCACGGTACTTCACTCTCCTTTGTTGTGGGGTAATTTTTATTCTGTGTTCCGAGAAACCGCAGGATTTCAATTTTGGGATACGTCTTTGGATGGGAATGGGGCATCAATATGCGTGGCGACGGGATAGCGCAACTTGCTTGTAAAATATTTCCACGGTACCGAGTTACCTTTTTTTTGTTGTGAATACAAAGCAAAATTTTGAATATCAAAGCAAAATTTCCACGTTTTTCCAAGAAGCTTTTTCCCTAAACATCGATTTGACGGCGAAAAGCTCCCCTCCCCGTTTGTTTGTTTTATCTGACATATCGCGAAAGGTTTTTCGACGGAGACGATGACGAGGGCAGCGTCATCGAGGACGGCTTGGACATGCAACAACTCCTTGGCGGGATAGACTGGGGCTCGAACACCCTGTCCATGTAGATGGAAGGCCTCATGTTCATTGCCACATAGCATGAGATTCGTGCGTGATGGAATACACGGTTGGTATTGTTTCCAAAAGTTCTGCATCGGCACTCCGAGAGCGGTTTAACCCTCCAGTTCCTCCTTTTCAATTGCCGGAAATATGTCAGCCCTTCGCCCAATGTAACTACACAGAGGGTCGCCAAACAAACTCCACCCTGTACGTGCCAAGTTTCTGTGTCCTCTATTGGGAACAAGGTTGTTTCTGCCCAATGTTTCTGCCACCGCCTGCCACCGCCTGTCCCTGGCAACTTGGAAGGGCCAGGCGCTTCTTGCACCGCGTGTGTGCGGATGACGTTGTGTTTCCTCCACCGCGAGGTGAATCAGAGTGAATATGTGTTGGTACCGTAGTGTGTGGACCTGCCCGCTTGCGCTTGACCGCATTGTTGTGTAGCGTTGTGTCGCCCCGTGTATTCTCTGGCACCAGTTTACAAATCTTTCGGCAAATAAACGTTTCGGCTTCCTGTGTGTACCTGGAATATGTGTGACGATGTTCGACGTATCAGCAGGGGCCAAACAGGAGCCAGTTGTTTTTTTGTGTACGCATAGCCTACATAGTCCTTCTTTCTTCCTGCAGGGCCTTGAAGTATCTATCGCGAGAAGGGTTCAGCCGTCCTCTTCTTTTTTGCCATCACTTCAAATCACCGCTTCCAGCGTTTGTGTCGCGTGTGCATAAGCTCAGGAATTACTCGTTTACAACGCAAATTGCGAATTTCTTCCTCGCTATTGAGGGACGGCCAGTCGAATGTACGACCTGGTACTATGCCCTTCGTTGCAGCTTTCCGCGAGAACCAACATCGGGGCCACCGACCTCCCTTATGCTCATAATCTTCGTGGACGTTAAACAGCTTCTGCCGCTAATGAACGCGCAGCAGCGCCCACCTGGAGCAGGCTGGTCTTGAGCCGAAACGGTGCTCTCCGTCTGTCGAAGATCTCCCGGCAACATCTCCTGACGCACACCCACGCTGCTCTGCTCTTGTAGGTAATCCCCCGGGTGAAATCGCCATGCCCGTTGACGAGGCCACCTGTGTACGTACCGGAACTCAGTCGTCTGGGCGTCCCTCTGTGCCGCTGGTTCGACGATCAGCGGTGACGGTGGGGGCGGTGGTGTTGGCTGGTCCTCCTCCTTTCCGCGCATCAGGAGCGTGTCCACCTTCTTCTCCGACACCGTCGGCCCGAACTCCCCTTCGGGCACACTTCCACGATGACGTTCATCGTTCTCGCCAGTCCGCCGACGGACTTCGGCACTACGTCGGCGTCATCGGCATACAGCATCCCCCATGTCGCCTTCCGCACTTGGCCAAGTGGTGTTTCCGGCCCTGCCCCCGTCTCCTTCGCCAGGTGCACCAGGTTCCGCAGAAAAACATCATCCTCGCTGAATCGAGTGACACCGACCTCGAGAGGTGGGGGTCAAAACTGTTTTTGTTCGAGGTGTTTTGGGAAGACAGGTACACTTGTATGCAGTCTACAGTAGAAGAGGAAGACTTCCACGAAAAGATTTGGGTAGGCAAGGGTACACGTGAATATATTTTCAAGACACATACATAGGCCAACTAATCGAAACTCGGGGTCATTTGGGGGGGGGGTACTCATAGTCGTGCATGCCATAGTCGTTAGACCATTGACCTCGCATCCCTACAGAGCCGGGACGGAGCACGCCAGGTTCTCACCGGACCAGGCTCTTACATCACCAAGCGTGAAGCACCGTGAAGTATTCGGCGAGTCGCATGAAGGGTGCGGTGCATCCTGCTAAGGGTGTTCGGCATCTTGCTCACTCCCTTGCGTACGGATGACAGCTGCGTATGACTTAATATATTTTCTGGTGCTTTCACTTCCAGAGACAGTTATGAGCACTGTGTTACTGCCTCGAGGAGGGTGCTTGATCAATGTATCGCAACGTGGTGTGACTATCCCCTGTGCGCTGAGTAAGGGTTCTCGCGTAGTAAGGGTTCTCGACCCCGTACAAAATATTCTACTCGGCCACCATTATACCCAAAGGCTAAAAAACAATGCGGTAACTCTGGTTGCCCAGCTCACGAAGTGATCGGCTTGTTTTACAGCATCGCTGTCAAGCGACGAAAACCCAACCCTTATGGGAAACACCGGGGGGGGAGATATAGCCCATGTGTCCCCGGGTTTTCCGCCGAAGGCGTCAGCGCTTTGGCGTCCCGCTCTCTGTCACGTTGAGCATCACCGCTGGCGCTGCTGGCGCTGTGGAGCTGTAGAGATGTAGAGATCGCCGAGAGATGGAAGACACCCCGCATACTACAGAGTCGTCTTCGCAGTCTTCTCATGCATATCCCCCTGAGAATCGAGGAGCAGCCGCTAGTCCGCCAGTCGCCCGTTAGGCCGATTGGTCAGAGCAACATGGATGGCGATGTCGCACGTGCACGCACAACAATATTCGGCAAACGTAAGCAGCGATTGGTTCGAAAAAAGCCTAGCGAGACACCGCGCGAGAACTCGAAAGTAGGGCCCGCGTGAGTAAGCGGGGTACATTGATCAAGTCTAACGAAACCCCACGAGACCAAGGCTGCGAACAGATTTGCGAGACTGTGTTCTCTGTTATGCAGTGCTAGAAGCAGCATGGGCCAGTTTGCAAGGCAGGTGGTTCAAAAGATGGTTGTCAACCCTACTTGGGAAACCTGGGCAATGACTTATTCAAAAATGATTGGGTCTTCTACGGTTGTAGACTACGTTCTTTCATAGATCATATGACGCGCTACGCAAGCTAGGCTGCTTGTTTCCGCGTGCTCTGTAGTAGCACCGCTGGGTGAGCGTGGGACGGTATCGATGACGAGCAGACGCAGAACGGGTATCGAGAGCGAGGCATCTTTGCCATCCATCCATCCTAGTCATGGTAACTTTCCGACGATTCATGATAACTTTTCGAATTTCTTCCCCCCCGAAGGGGGCTCGATTGGTGTTTGCCATCGAGATTGGGCTTTCGTCGCATGGCATCGACGTTGTAAAACAAGCCAATTCACTTCGTGAACTCGGCAACCAGGTTACCCTTTTTCTTTTTTCTCTTTGTTCTTTTCTTTGCGGTAACCATAATGTATGGTAGTCGAGTAGATCATGCTGTGCAGGGTCGAGAACCCTCGCTCCACGCAAGGGGGATGATCGCACCACGTTGTGTTGAAATGGTCAAGCATCCCCGAGGCAGTTGCACAGTGCTCGTAACTGTCTCTGGAAGTGAAAGCACCGGAAAATATACTCATACGCAGCTGTCATCCTTACGCAAGGAAGTAAGCACAAGATGCCGAACACCTTTAGCAGGATGCAGCGCACCCTACATGCGACTCGCCGAATACCTCATGGCGCTTCACGCTTGGTGATGTGAGAGCCTGGTCCGGTGAGAACCCGGCGTGCTCCGTCCCGGCTTTGTAGGGATGCGAGGTCAATGGTCCAACGACTACCGCATGCACGACTATGAGTACCACCCCCCCCCCCCCCAGGGGGGGGTTTATCGGGGTTGGGTTTTCGTCGCTTGGCAACGACGTTGTAAAACATGCCGCCCCCCCCGGTGTTTGCCATCGGGGTTTGGTTTTCGTCCTTGGCAACGACGTTGTAAAACAAGCCCCCCCCTCGGTGTATGCCATCGGGATTGGGTTTTCGTCGCTTGGCAACGACGTTGTAAAACAAGCCAATTCACTTCGTGAACTCGGCAACCAGGTTACCGTTTTTTTTTTCCCTCTGATTTTTTTTTGGCAGTAACCATAATGGTGGTCGAGTAGATCATGTTGTGCGGGGTGGAGAACCCTCGCTCCGCGCAACGGGGGATGATCGCACCACGTTGTGTTAAAATGGTCAAGCATCCCCGAGGCAGTTACACAGT